TCAGGGGTCCAAGATTATCTTCTGTGTCTGTGTTAATTGGTTTCCCTTTTCTTTGTTGAAGAGGGTCTGTGCAATCCTTCTGCCTAGTCCGCCATCTTGCCCCGCCAGACTGTGTAACTTTCATGTGCTGGGGTGTCACTGTGGAAATGACTTAGGTCTACCTGCATGTGTCCATGTGGGACCTGATTGCAGGGGTAAAGGCTCCCATTTTTCTCTCTCTCCCCTTCTCTCCTGCCCCAGTCCTCACCTCTCAGCCCCTGAACTGACCTCCACGCACACTTGTGACACAAAGAGAAGAAAAGAAACATAAATGAGGACAGAAAGCCAGACATAGGGTCTGTCCTCAAGAGAGGTCTCCAATAATCCCAAAAAGCCCCTGTTGGGAAGGAGCCCCAATTTTTCTGGGTCAGTTGACCTCAGCCAGCTGCCCTGTAGGTCCTCTACAAATAGTCTCAGTCCCCATTTTGGCCCACCCTTGGACTGACCTTCCATCTCCCAAAGTTTTACCTTCTTCACCAAGCCTTCATTGACCTCCCCACTCACCCTGACCTCTCCTTCAGGGATGCCTGCTCTGTGCCCACACTTACCCTCTGCACTGCCCCATCCATGGTGTGAGTATGAGAGTGTGTGTGATAGGGAGATCTATTCTTTACCAGAACAGAAGCTCTCGGAGGGCAGGGACCACACTTTCTCCTCCCCTACCTCCCCCAGCCCCAGCCCCAGCCCCAGCCCCATGTAGGGTACCCAGCTGGAGCCCAACATAAGAACTGAATGACTGTCCTATAGACCCAGCACTCCTGGCCTCCTGGCTCTGTGGGGACAGGCTTTGCAGCCAGGGTGAGAGGCCTTCACACTGAATGATGCTGGGCTATTTTCAGAGGGCCAAGATTTGCCCCAGTGGCTGGACCAATGCAAAGTTCCTGAAGAAAGATCCCAGTGCCAGCACCTTGAGGACAAGGGGGCTATTTAGAAGTAGATAGTGCCAACAGGGAGAGACTCAAGCATCAGTCATCACCAGGGGGCCATGCACAGTCTCCTAAGTCATTGTGTGGAGCGGCTGATCCAAGGAGAAGGTGGTCTTTGGGACAGAGGAAAAGTGGGTGATGTCAGAACTTCATCCTCCTCCTAGAGCCGGCAGTTCCCCCTCTGTCTGCTCAGTGGGGGCTGGTCTCACCATCAGCACTTACTCTGGCTTAGGGTGGCCAGTTCTGGATGCCCAAAGTTCATGTCCATCATGAAGCCATCCACCACCAGCTCAGTTCCACAAATCCTTTCCCTGGACTTGTGATGTATCCACAACACTTTGTACCCCCACAATTTTAAGAGATAAGAGGTGCCCTGGGTCTGAGGTCAGTGAGCCCCACACTTACCTCCATAGAGCAGCAGAGGACAGCATCTTCCTTCACATCCTGAGATTGCAAGAGCTGTGGAAGAGAGGGGACAGGCAGCAGCACTCAGGGGCAGCTCTGTGACTCCCAGCCCCCTGGCACAGGGCCCCAGCCCACTCTCCTCATTCCAGACCCAGGCCTGATGCTTTTGTGAACAAACATGTCCCAGGGTCTGGTCAGAGCGAGACTCCACAAAGGCCAGAAAGAAAACTGCCCCAGGAAACCAGTGATTTCTCCCGTGGGATCTGGGTAGCTGGAGGGCTGTTGTGATGGCCCAGGATGGCCTCTCAGGTCAGGCCTGGCCAGGCCACTGGGCTTCGGGGTGCTCGCAGAGAGAGGCCACAGGTTGGTTTGAAAGCAATGGCAGGTATGCTGGGATCATCAGCTGTTGATAAGTCGTCAGCAAAAATCCTCAGGGAAATGAAATGAGCTAAAGACTTTCCAGGGAGCCCTGGTGGCACAGGCATTAAGCAGTTAGCTGCTAACTGAAAGGCTGGTGGTTCGAACCCACCCAGTGGCTCCACAGGAGACAGATCTGGCTTCTGTAAAGACTCAAACTCAACTCACTGCCATCAAGTCAGTTCCAACTCACAGCAACCCTCATTGGGTTTCTGAGGCAGTAAATCTTTATGGAAGTAGATTGCCCCATCTTCCTTATGTAGGGGAACTGGTAGGTTTGAACTGCCAACCTTCTGGTTAGTAGCCAAATGCCTTACCCAGTATACCACCAGAGCTCCTATAGCCAGGAAAACCCTCCAAGGCTGTTCCACTCTGTAACGTGGGGTCATTATGAGTTGGAATGACTCAACGGCACTCAACAACAAAGACTTCCTTATTGGTGGCTCCTCTGCCTTCCAGCAGGATCAGACCTTGTCTCAGGTGCTCTGGGCCCTGGCCAGAGGAGGACTCCCATGATTCAAACATGCTCTGCCACAGGCCCAGCACTGAACACGTTCAGAACCATGACTGCACTGACTTGTTGAGGGGCTGGAATTGCTTGGTGCCCGGTCTGACCACACCCCCGTCCAGTCCCTTAACCTGTCTGTCTTTGGTCTCTCAATCTCTCTACTTTTTTTTTTTTTTAGATATAATTTGCATAACATAAAATTTCCAGTTGTATAGTATGCAACCAATGGTTTTTAGCACAATCATCATATGATCTAATTCCAGATATTTTCATCACCCCAAAGAGAAGTCCTGTGTTCATTAGCAGTCAGTCCCAACTTCTGCTCTGCCCGTCCCCTGGCAACCACCAATCTACTTTCTGTTTCCATGGATTTTCCTATTTCACATAAATGAAATCATACAACATGTGGCCTTTTGGGACTGGCTTCTTTCATGTAGCCTAGTATTTTCAAAGTCCATCCATGTTGTAGCATGTATCAGTACTTCCTCTTTTTATTTTTTTTAAAAATAAACCAATTGCTTTTTTTTTTTTTTTTTTAAATATCAGTGATTTATAGTTACTTTACTTATTTATTTATTGTGATTTGGGTGAAAGTTTACAGAACAAATTCACTTTCCATACAGTAGCTCACATACACCTTGTTTCATGACATTGACTACAATTTCCCACAATGCAACAGCTCCCTTCCCACTTCCTCCCCATAGTTACCTCTTCCCTGTGTCCTTGCCTCCATGCACCTCTGCCCCTGAGCTGTCTCCCTGTGCATACACAGCCCTTCTATTTTCCCATGATTGTTTTCTCCAAGGAGTGTATCTACCTAGTGTAAATGTTCAGCTCATATGCCTGTCTTTTGTTTGGCTGGAAGCCATAGGAGTGGCTTCAATTCCAGACCTGAAGGGCAGTTAGCTGAAACCTGCCACTCTGTGGTGGCTGGGGACCACAGAGTGGTAGGTTTCAGGTAGGAATTAGATAAGAGGAAGGTGTAGAAGTTTCCAATAGCTAAGGGAGACAAACTTATCTGTCAGTTTGTCGTCCTATGAGGCTTATACGTTGCTGTGAGGAGGCCTGAGGCTGTGTCACTGGTGTTGCAGACACCAGCAGAGTTGCACATAGTGCACAGATTTCAATGCAGCTTACAGACTAAGACAGACTAGGAAGAAGAAGGAGACCATCCGCTTCTTAAAAATTGGCCAGGGAAAACCTTATGAATACCAGAGAAACACGGTCTGATACATTACTGGGCAACTTTATGAATAGCTTGGAAACACTGTCCGACACAGTGCAGGAAGAGGAGCCCCTTGGGTTGGAAGGCACTCAAAATAGGACAGGGAAAGAGCTGCCTCATTAGAGTAGAACCAACCTTAATGATATGGATAAAGTAAGTCTTTCAGGACCTCCATGTGCTGATGTGTCATGACCCAAATTGAGGAAAAACAGCTGCGAACATCCATTAATAATCGGAACATGGAACGTATGAAGTATGAATCTAGGAAAATTGGGAGTTGTCAAAAATGAAATGGAACGCATAAAGACTGATATCCTCGGCATTAGTGAGCTGAAGTAGACAGGTTTTGGCCATTTTGAATCAGACAACCATATGATCTATGTTGGGAATGACAAATTGAAGAGGAATGGTGTGGCATTCATCATCACAGAAGATGTTTCAAGATCTGTTCTGAAGTACAATGCTGTTAGTGATAGGATAATATCCATATGCCTACAAGGAAGACCAGTTAATATGACTATTATTCAAATTTATGCACCAACCTCCAAAGCAAAAGATGAGGAAATTGAAGATTTTTATCAACTTCTGCAGTCTGAAATTGACCAAACATTCAATCAAGATGTGCGGCTTATCACTGGTGATTGGAATGCAAAAATTGGAAACAAAGAAGAATCACCAGTAGTTGGAAAATTTGGCCTTGGTGACAGAAATAACACTGGAGATCACATGATAGAATTTTGCAAGACCAACGACTTATTCATTGCAAATACCTTTTTCAACAACACAAACGGCAGCTGTACATGTGGACTTCACCAGATGGAACACACAGGAATCAGATTGACATCTGTTGCAAGAGGCAATGGAAAAGCTCAATAACTTCAGCCAAAACCAGTCCAGGAGCTAACTGTGGAACAGACCATCAACTGCTCATATGCAAGTTCAACTAGAAGTTGAAGACAATTAAAACAACTCCACAAGAGCCAAAATATGATCTTGAATATATCCCTCCTGAATTTAGAGACCATCTAAAGAATAGATTTGATGCATTGAACACCAATGACTGAAAAACAGAAGAATTGTGGGATGACATCAACAGCATCATCCATGAAGAAAGCAAGAGGTCATTAAAAATACGAGAAAGAAAAGACCAAAATAGATGTCAGAAGAGATTCTGAAACTTGCCCTTGAGTGAAGAGTAGCTAAAGCAAATGGAAGAAATGACAAAATAAAAGAGCTGAACAGAAGATTTCAAAGAGTAGCTCATGCAGACAAAGCCAATTACTATAATGAAATATGCAAAGACCTGAAGTTAGAAAACCAAAAGGGAAGAACATGCTCAGCATTTCTCAAGCTGAAAGAACTGAGGAAAAAATTTAAGCCTTGAGTTAAAATACTGAGAGATTCTATGGGAAAAATATTGAGTGATACAGGAAGCATCAAAAGAAGATGGAAGGAATACACAGTCACTGTACCAAAAAGAACTGGTCAATCTTAATCCATTTCAGTAGGTGGCATATGTTCAAGAACCAATGGTATTGAGGGAAGAGGTCAAAGTTGCACTGAGGGAACTGGTGAGAAACAAGGCTCCAGGAATTGACAGAATACCCACTGAGATATTTCAACATACGGATGCCCCACTGGAGGCACTCGCTCGGTTATGCCAAGAGATTTGGAAGACAGCTACCTGCCCAACTGACTGGAAGAGATCCATATTTGTACCCATTCCAAACAAAGGTGATCCCACAGAATGTGGAAAGTATCGAACAACATCATTAATATTGCATGCAAGTAAAATCTTACTGAAGATAATTCAAAAACGGTTGCAGCAGTTATATTGACAGAGAACTTCCAGAGGTGCAGGCTGGATTCAGAAGAGGACATAGAACAAGGGATATCATTGCTGATGTCAGATGGATCTTGGCTCAGAGTAAAGAATACCAGAAAGATGTTTACATATGTTTTGACTATGCAAAAGCATTTGATTGTGTGGGTCATAACAAATTGTGGATAACATTGAGAAGAATGGGAATTCCAGAACACTTAACTGAATTGAATGAGGAGTTCATTCAATTCCACACCTGAAAGGTAACTAGGGGCCATAGTTTCGGAGTCTCATCAGGCTCTATCAGACCAGCAAATCTGGTCTTTTTCATGATTCTGAATTTTGTTTCACATTGTTCTCCTACTCTATCCAGGATCTTCTGCACTGATCCCTTTCAGAGTGGTTGACAATGGTAGCTGGGCATCATCTAGTTCATCTGGCCTCATGGTCATGTAGGCTGAAGATTGCATGGTGTACTAGTCCCTTGTACCAATTGTTTCCACGCATCTTTGGTTTTCCTCATTCTTCTTTTCTCTGGATGAGGAGAGACCCATTGTTGCATTTAGATGGCCACTTGCAAGCTTTTAAGATCCCAGTCGCTACTCACCAAAGTAGGAAGTGGAATGATGTTTTTGTGTAGTAAGTTATGCCAATTGAGCTTGACATCCCCTGTGACCATGGTCCTAAGCCCCCAGGTCCAACCATTCATTCCCTCCCTCAGGGTGGTTACCATAACTTTGAAGGTAGACATTCTTTACTAATTAAGTTAAACTATTGTTTCGTTTAAAGAAGAATGCAGGGAATATTTTTGGTTTAGGGTTTAAAGATTATCTCAATGCAAAAGTTTCAGGGGTTCATCAGAAAGTCTGGGGTACAGGAGAATTTGGAATTCTGTTCTGCATTTCCCCTCTTTTGATCAGAATTTTTCTATAGAATCTTTTATCAAAACATTCAGTAATGGCAGCCAGGCACCATCCAGCTCTTCTGGGCTCATGGCAAAGGGTGCTCATTGCCAGCTTAGAGAGTAGATGCAGCACCCTTAGTGTTGAAGGGTCTATAAGGAGTATGTCCCCCACCTCCTG